AAGCGTTAATCAAGAGAAAGAGAACAACGGAAAGCAACAACAACCTGCTACTGTGGTCGGACAAGAGAGTTCCACACAGCTCTAAGGTGATTGATTCTGAAGGAAGGGGTCAAATACCATTACACAACTCTACCACCCCCAAACACCTGTAACGTCACAATGCACGGGACGTGTACCCTGCTACTTGAACAACGTCCTGAACATCTTTCGCTCACCGACCTTTTGACTCAACAGCAAAAACATTGCAAATGTAGTGCGAGAACAACGACTATACTACGTCATCGCGACGGCCAACCAGCTCCCGGGCGAGGGCGGTAAACACATCTTTGCTCACGTCGTTCAGAACAAGGAGACAGTGGGATTTACGTATCGCCCACTTTTTTGTCCGACTCGCCACGATGCACGTTCTACAAGTAAAAGATAACCTTCTCGACCCCTCAGCGGACGGCAACAAGCTCCGAACCACCGAGGTAATATGAACAATATACAACATTAAGTACGTGACAGATGAACACGAAGCTTAGGCTTTCGCTTTTTTCTGGTGACATGAGGCCGGCGGCAGGAAGAATAAAACATCCGGAAATCGAAACGCCTTCTCCACTAGCCCAGGTCTCTACTTCTTCATAGGCATGTGCAGACAATATACACATGATAGATGAGACATATGGTGCAGAGGGAATGCCCGATATGATACGCGAACGGTAGGTTGTCCAAACACCTCTGTGCGCCAACGACGGGAAAGCCGGGGGGGGGAGGGTAACGCTGCTCACACCTCACACAAATATCTAACCAGGTCTCTTCCCCGAAAACACAAGAAGACAGACTGATACACTGATCCCTGCCACTCGCTCGACACCACAATACTGTAGGTGAANCTCCTCCTCCTCCTCCTCCTCCCTTCCATCAGTATACTATACAAGGCTGCCCTTCGACGACGCCACACCGCAACGGCACCGCCTGTTCCCTTCCATTCGCATTGTAGGTCCTGTTTATTTTTCCTTTGCCCGCAAAAACACGTGGAGAAAAGCGTCTCATGAAATGCCAACGTGCACGCCCTCACCTGCACTCCCCCATAGACAACAAAGTAGCACACAATCAAACGATAGCAACAACAACAAGGTCCATTTCACACTGCACACCATCAAAAAGTAACCACCACCACAAGCGACAAGAAAAACCACGACGAGGGTTACACACAAGCCTATCGAAAATTCAATGTGTCACTTACCATGATACAGCGGTCCTCCTGAAACCAAAGTCAGGCATTCTAAGCTCCCAGACCACTCACTCTACCATATTCCGCAGCAGGGGCGTGAGGGGCGGGAGCTTAAGTATGCGCCAATGACAACACAATCGACACGTGTCTCTTTGCCAACACAACGAGACAAGTGCGTCACAGCCGCTCGCTCGACACATGTTAGAGACAACAGCAAACGAATTGCGATGATAGTGGTGTAGGAACCAATGTCGGCGAGGCACGCCTTCCCCGTCATGGAGGTCGACGGCGTCATTCCCTAGCACCACCTTCTCTCTACACCTCTACCTTTCTTTCCCCTTGTGTGCCTCCCCTACTGCGAGAACAAACGCATGCATCCAAGAGGTTGTGAGAGTACGCGCGCGCCCCTGCACACCTGCTGCGACTACACAACACCACAAACGAAGTTGCGTGTCCAGGGTCCAATTCGTACTGTAAACTCAGTCCTCACCACGCACACAACACCGGCGCGAAATCGCGGCCACCTCAACTATCCGGAAAGAAAACATGAAAGAAGTGGCCTCAGGAAAGAAACAGCGTCCGGCCCAGCTCCAAAAACAAGAGCACCCCAGACGACGCCGACATGTTCATCATCGGGGAGGGGCGTGCATCCTACAACAATATCTAGGCTCGGCCGGCACAAGGGCCAAATAATTTGCCAATACGTCAAACGAAAAGCACACCAAAATGATCACCGATGCACCATACGCACACCTGTACGGCAACAGAACAAGACAAGAAAACGAAAGCATCACGTCGTCACCGCGCCAAAGGATGCGCTTCCTCCTCAGCCAGACGGATAATTCATCGCATACTGTACACCCCAAAACATAGCAAGACAGACTCGCGAGGCGGGGAGAGGAAAACGAACACCATATGAGCAGGCATTACAAGACGACTTCTCTAAAAAAAGCTGTGCTTACCGAAAAACGAAAATAAGAAGCGTCATACTCCACCTCGGCTTCCGTCTCAGAGAGGTGGGTGATACTATTTTCCCTCAAGAAGCACAAAGGCGAAGTGAGAGAGAGAGACAGCACCGGGCGCCAAACGCGTCGAGCGAACGATCGGACTGCTGCACAACACATGACGTTTGGGTGGGTGCTGTGGCTCTTTCCTCTTCTAGGAACGTGTACTTGGGCCCGGTCCAGTAACAGTACAAGGGGCGGCATCTCTTCCAGCCCATCCTGACAACCGTCTCACCTCTAGCTCAACGGACAGTGGGCGGTTTGCGACAAAAAGGGCATGTGTTTCGCACCTAACCTAGAGGAGACGCATCGGAGTCGGCACCAGACCTCGACCCACCACTTCTGCTGCTGCCTATGTCACCCCTACCACCGGTGCTCACAATAGTCCCGAATGACATGGCGAGATCTGCGGCCTTGCGCTTCACGGCCGAGCTAGGGGGCGTGAGGTTTCTGCCGGACGTTCCCACCCGCCTGTCAGCGGGCAGAGGGGGAGACGAGAAAGCACCACCACCGCCGCTGCCACCGCCGTGAGTCGCCAAGGCAAGTTTGCTCGGCGCCTGTGCACCAAGGGGGTTATCAGGTGTCCCCGTGCGTACACCAGCCGTGCCTGTTCCCTGCAAGCCCTGCTGCTGGGCACTGTTGTGGTCAACCAACACCCCGGAGGGACAAGCCCGGGCGGGAACGGGAGCTGTACCGTTCTCTTCCATTGCTCCCGACTCTGCCGACCCGCGTGCACCGTTGCTCTCGGCATCTTCATCGTTACTGCTAAGCGCAATGGGATCTTCTGCTCTGCCCGACCGCACCTGCTCCTGCTCCTTCTGCTGGACGCCGCCGCTGACCAAAGTCGACGGAGTACCGGTGTCCCCGTCAGCATCTCGCGAAGCGAGGACGGCGTCGTCCGAGTTGTTGTCCGCGGATGTAACGCTGGAAGCACGGCTGCTAAGCTTGCTGCCCTTGACGGCCGCCTTCGCTGTCGTCTTCAGGGCCTTCCTTTTCCTACTCGTCTCCGTGTCCAGGGACGCGGTTCCCCCGCTCCCGGTGGCCTGCAGTGCGGACGCGTTCGCTCCCCCACTTGCTGCAGCCGCCCCAGCCTTCGATCCCGACCTCTTGGGTCCATTGTTGTCGTCGCTGGCTCTGGGCTTCCGCTTGCCGCTTTCCCTTGCCTGACAATAGCCCACACGGCGGCATCAAGGAATATTTTCCAGAAGACGTATTGAAGTGGTGCAAATCGTCCTACATGTGATTGGCTAAACGACTGGTATCGATCACTTCTAAATTTACAGATCCGAAAAAAGGGAGTCGGGGACAGGAATGTATCGCTCGACGTGCCCATACAATAGGCTTATGAATGTTGGCTGTTGAGCCAAGGAAACGAGGCGTGACCGGCTCAAGATGGGTCGGGAACTCCACACAGACACTCGGCGGTTGTGAGTAACAGCCAGCGACGAAAAAGAGGGACTAAAGCAATCACCACTTCCGGGACAGATCACGATAATTCGTGCCTTGAAGCGCACAAGGGAATAGATATACAAGACAAGGTCCGGCCTCTGACCCACCGTCTTGGCCAAAGGGTTCATCACCCCGGCGGGTTTGAGCGGGATATCGAAGGGTTGCTCAAGGCGAAGCATGTCCCCGAACGCCGACGTCCCAGCGGTCACCGCACTCAGCGCCATATTGGCGCGGGCGGCGAGGTCTGTGGTAAGAGGGCCGCCACCCCCATTCTCGCGAACTTCCATCAGCACGGAGCGCATCTCATAGATGACGCTCACGAGCCTATCGCATACCTCCTGGCGGGCTTGGTTCTGGCGGTAGAGTGGCCATGAGGACCAAGGGGGGAAGCAGCAACCCACATGATACAAAGCAACACAGTTCAGCTCGAGAGGGGATATTGTTCTCAAAGAGAAGCAGGGATTCATCACAGCTTTTGTTGCAGGCGTGAAGCACCTGCGATCGCGCAAAACGCAAGACAAATCGACGGGGGAAACACAGATGAACAGACCTCTCGGCTGGGCTTCGTCGATTCTTCCGTGTGCTGCGGCAAGATTGTGGGGGGAAACTTCTTGCCATCACAAACCTTGTGCTCGCGTGTGTAGGCGTCCAAACCGGCGGGCCCCGCCTCGGCCTCAAGTGGGCGGCAAGCGGGAAACATGGGAGAGCGAGAGAGCACGGGAGACAGGGAGCGCAGGGTTCAATTTAACTCGTCCCTGCAGGGCATCAAGTGCAAAATGTACGCAACCTCAGAACAAGAAACCGCTCTGCACAGCAGGAAAGTGGAAAAAGAAACCAAGACAAATCCTACCGAAGAGCCATATGGACGACTGGCTAAAAGCTCACTGTTGTGAGCACGCAGAAGCAGTGTTTCCCCCACCGAACTCGTATTTGCGAAGCTGAATATCATTCGCAAGAAATCCACCGGTTTGCTTTTGTACTCTGAGCCATGGTCTCTTGAATCGCGGGTGACAAACAGCCGCCAGAAAGGCAGGGGGGTAAGGACCGACATCTGGGAACTCGAACAATTTGACCGCTGGCCAGGAACAAGTTGTGGCAACGTCAGGGCCGAAAGGGTTCCTGTAAGGGCACGACTTGTGGTAGGTTGCGCGGCGAGTTGTCACCACAGAGTCGAGATCTCGTCAACATTGGCTAACCCTCAAACGCAACACACGATTCTCCGCACCCTTCACTTCGATTTTTTCTCCACACCGTGCCGCGTGCGTCCAATGATGAGTGTCGGACGTGCGGCAACCATGTATCCAATAGACAAGTTGGAGGCGCTTGCTCCACCACAAAGAAAGGTTAGGGAGCGGGAAAAGGGTAACCCCCCCGTCCACGCACGACTGACTGCGTAGACAGTGGTCGGCAAGTGCGGGCTGCCACGCGTAATATCCCCCCCCCCGAGTAACAAGGAGCCCGAACAAACCTTCACGAAGAACGAGATCCGAGGATCCCGACGGTCGGTGGCGCCATCACACATCTGGGTCGAAAATTGTCCACTCTAAGAATAAGGCGAAGTAAGACAGGACGAAACAAAGAAGTACAGACAAGATCGTCCGCAGTACCGTCTCAGTATGAAGCGGCTTACTATATAGCAGGGAAATTTGACCAGCCATTCAGAGGGCCTCATTCAGAATTACCCCCTTGCACCCGCTAATGTGTATTTGAGATTTCCTCAACACGGCCGGCACCGGCACTACAGGCGAACTGCGTTGAAGGGGCGCAGGAGCTAGCAGGCCATGGCGGTGGGAAGCCAGCGGGGCCGATAACCCTGTAGACGTAAAAAGTTTTCTCCGCGAACGAAAAATCAACAGGATTGATCTGACCTGAAAGGAGTGCACACATTCGAACAACGTGCCACAGATTTCAACAGGAGTCACCATTGCGCCTGCCGTGCCTTGGACGAACGGGCAAATCATCTTCACCGTTGGTTGGTACGTGCAAGGACATGATGTATTTTTCTACTCGCCGACCTTGCCGTTTCAGTCGTCACTACAGGCGAAACCTGCCAATCTAACTGGTACAGACCAATACAACTGGGTGCACTGAAAAGCAAGCATACCCCACCGTTGAACGTCGGCAAAACATGGTTGGAAATCGAACGCCGGTGAGGTGTGAATATTCCACATTTCGCTGAACTCTTCTCCCGTCAAAAACGTCAAGGCACGTAGGCTATATTTGCCAGTGCGACCTGGTTGGTTGGCGCTCGTCTTCAGGCTCGCGGCGGCGGCACCAAGGCGCGCTCTTGGCGAGGTGCAGGATGAAATCTATAGGTTTTTCGACTAACTTAACCATGTTCGTCGACTTGTGCTGATCGCCGTGTTCTGTTTCGTTATTACGCATCATTTACTCACTTCGAGAGGCGTGGAAAAGCGGCTGGAACTGGGGGAGCGGCGGCGGCCGCGAACGGCGTCAGCGCGCATCTTGTCCAGGAACGGGAAGGGGAATGGCACCACTAGTTTCTTGGCTATCGCGGGGACATCCGTAAGAAAACTTGGCGCGCTCCTTTGCAAAGTCGTTCTGCTCGCCTACGGTTCAATTCGTTGACACAAAAAGTGGGAAAATAATAGCGACGGCGAGGGCTAACCCTCTTGTGACATTGGAAGTGTTTACCCGTTTTTGGTTCTATGCCTTCAAACGGTGGTCTGGTGTTATTCTTTGGGACAAAAACGTACTTGACTGACTGTTGGCGGTCAGCCTTGCCAGCGACAATCACGGTCACTCATCATATTCTCGGGTCAGCTACATAGGTGCCAGCAAGGATGCACCCGAGAAAGATTCAAGAACGGACCCACTTTGGGGCTCTATTGAAACGCCGTAGACCAAGACAACCCATTGAGCGAAGCTAAGAAACGTCACCTCGCAGGCACAATAGGTGCCCGTTGATGTAGCCCATTCCCGACAAGCCTACGACCAACGCAGAGACAGTAGTCGTCGATCCCCTGGCCTTGCGCCGGAGACCCGCTTCGAGCTCCTTCCGCTCCAAAACATAATCCGCCGCCGCCGCGCAGATAGCAATCATGCCGTCGGTGCTGCATGGCTTGTCCCACTTTTTCTCAATGGTACGGATGAGACGGCATCCGCCCCCGGCGCCACCCGCCTCCTGCAAGACCACGAGCTTCGTGTACAGCCTCAAGAACTTGGCGGCCACCAGCTGCGAGCGGATGTGCCTGTAAAAGACAATAAGTCCCAAATATTCAGGCTCCCGCCAAAACCACGCTCTGAGTTGCCCCAGGACAAAGAGAGCCCCCGGCTTCCTGGGTGGGGATCTAATTAACACCACGAAACGACCCCGTACAGCAGTCCGTCCGGCGTAATGAAAGGGGCGTATAAAAACCTCCCCCGCTTACCCCTTCGTCGTCTGCTTGATGCGCATGAATTCCTCATCACCTGCACATTCTTGAGCCGCCTCCGCTCCACCGGATTTTCGCCAAGCACTACCCCTTCCAGGCCCGACAGATCCTTGCGCTGACGGACCACCCATAATGTAATATGGGGCACGCAAGGGGAGGGGCGCAATCGATTAGGGGCGATACGAACGAAGTCCTGCCGTGTGGGCAGACAGCCCACGTGCAATCGAAAGAGCATCCCGCCGGTGCGTGCGTGTCGACCTCAACAGGTCATGAAGCGGTGTGGCAAGACGGGGGAGGAGAGATTGAGAGAGCGAGGGAGGGATAGACAGAAAGAGAACAACACATCATTTCGTTGCGGCCGGCAGCCGCCTCTGTTTCTCTAAATACTCTTGGACGTTCAAGAGTTGAGCAGAAAGATGTCAGCTTCAATCTGCACCAGGCAGTCGCAAAGGGAACCCAACCAACACTAGCACACACACCCTGGGCCACAAGGTGTGCAAACAACGAGAGCAGAACGTCATCGGAGGAAGGAAATGGCAGACTGGAATCGAAAGGGTACCCACGAGGGACGCGAAAAGAACGAAAAAGCCGGCAAGGTTAGAGTAACGTGTGTACTGCGAGTGAGACTCACACTCGTGGCGTAGTAGATATTGAGATCGAGCACATGCTTCGCCACTTCGAGGGTAATGTAGAGGGAGGGTGGTCACCACGCTTGCGAACAACTCGTCTGCATCTTTCTCCATGTGCACGATCCACGTCGGGTCTTTGTCGTCGTCGTCGTCGTCGTCAAAGCCATGCTCATAGACATCCCTCGGGGTCCTGCCCCTGCTCATCTCGTAGCACCGTTCATTCTCCCTTCTGGATCTCGCTCATCGGGATCCATTCACCGTCGGACGATCCATTATGGATGTCACGGCTGAAACGAAAAGCAGCAGCAGTGGCAGCACCGCCAAGTCGGCTCTGGCGGTGGTCCACCTCGTCCTCTTGTCGCAGCCGTTCTCGTTTTGAAGACTTCGACTCCTCCATTGCTGCTCAATGTCGTGAACGCTGAATGCGATGCGTGGGGCGTGCAATACCCGCTTAGCGCTCACGAGGCGATTTCTAGGTGTAGCTTGAGTGTAGCGTGAAAAGGTCGATAGAGTTGCACCAAGAGCAAAGGAAAGCGCATCGAACCTCTCCAGGGACCCGACGCGTCGGTCGTTTCATAGAGTTGCATGCTGCTCTATGATGCAAAAACGTAATATTTCGAAACCAACGGCATGTTGGTTTGAGAGCAGCTGCAGATTCAAACTGAACCAGCGCAGACGAACTCAAGAATGGCTGGATACAATTTTCCACGCAGTTTTTACGAACTACGTAAAAACCTGACGGAATTAACATATTTGGAACATATGAGTATTGTTGTTTTCTTGTTTTCTTCACATTCAACTCGTGTCAGTTACTGATCCCAAAATCTAGCAAAGACTCGGTCCGTGGTCACGAAAAAAAAACAAGTATGCAACATTACGAATAACCTATAATTTGGGTCTGCAGCCTGGAGAGCCGTTCTTCGCTTTTCGTGAAGCTTGAGAGAGGTTTAGGCTACAGATAGATACGCTCGTCCAGAAAAACAATCCACACCCGCTGCTGCGTGCGTGCGTACCACAAACAACCAACAGATTTTTTGCCCAGCGTCTACTAACTGGTTTTACGTGTTCTGCGGCTCGTGTGAGATTGTATCCATGCAGTGACATTTGTTGTACACGCCTTATTTAGGTAATCATTTGAAGTATCGTTTTTGAATTTGAAACATGAGTAAAAAATCCAAGATCGGTTCGTCCGCCAATAAAAAATGTACATCATCACATTGAAAACACGCTGAACAGGCAAAACCTGATACAGCTGCAGCGTGCGCATGATCCAGCGCCTACTAACACGGTGATGATAGCCACCATGGGTAAACTGTATGAATATGCATACATTTGTACACATGAAATACTCACTAGTCTAGACTACCTACCAAGAGGAAGGAGCACCGCGGTGGTGATGTATCTGATGTCTCGAGACCCCACTTCTTTCGCGATGCCACCTCTCAACGACGCTAATCCCAGAGATCTGGCTTTGTGTCTGTTTCTGCCTCGGCAATAGGAAAGTAGAGACGTTCTTGCTCTCCGAACTCTCTATGCTCCGTGCTCCGGTCCGGCTCCACATGAGACTACCCCAAAATGGCGGCAGTGGTTGTGTTGTGTAGAGACCACAGCGTGCGGGTTGACATAATATTGGGTACACGCACATTTTTTGCTGCCATCTGCGAGTCCCCACGCTG